AAAGAGGTGGTGTTTGGAGACCATTTCATACAACTCATGCAAAAGGCACTACAGTAATTTCAGTCTCAGAGGCAATGGAGTAAATAGCTTAGAAGCTGAACACCGTTCAACCCCTCATAGCGGGCCACTCTAGTCTGAATGCATTATAGGCATTAGAGTAATTGTATGCCCAGCACACTGTATTTTAGGACCTTTACAGCTGATAATAACTTTGACACCCTAGAGGGTTGGGGATTACATTTTGCATGCCAGGTGTCTTTCTCAGGTTGCAATTCTCCTGGAAAACTTCAGTTGAAATGGCTGAGTCGTTTCTCAGAACCAGGCTGATCAAAAATATTTTGCCCATGTTAAATCCTGACTGTTTTTACTTTGTGAAGCCTGCGCGCGCTGGAATGTGGACTTGAAATGTGGTGAGAGGGGCGCCTTTATTTTAGGGCTGTGTCTTTTTGCCCACTCCAGGAAAATCTGGCCAAATCATAGTTTGTACCTGCTTGTTAGAGACTTGCTAAACTTCACAGCTAAGCTCTCTGTCCTGGCAGAGCATGCCTGAACCACTCACAGCAGAGTGGAGATTAGGACTGTTCAGCCAAGGAGAATGGGAATGGGACAAGAAGCCAGGGTGGAAAAGAGACAGCACTGGAGCAGAAAGGGTGAGGTCTTGGGTGGAGGGAGGAAGTGCCTAAACCCACTAAGTTACTGCCTGTACAGAACCAGGAATGAAACTTAGGTTCCTGATTCTCACATCCCTGTGCTATTAGGAAATATTTGGAAGGTGTGTAGTGAATAAGACAGGGGACTACAGGAAGAGAAAGGCTCTTCTCATAGTCGGGGCAGGTGAAGGCTGCCCTGGAGAACAGGAGTCTGTCTCTGCTTTCATCACAGGTACCACAGCATTGGGAGTACAGCACTGTTGGCAATATCATGAAAGGAAGGGGGTTGGGAGGAAAGACACTTGTTCTAATTAAAGGACCAGGCTGAGGGTCAGGAGCTGAGATTCCTGATCCTGGCTCTGGGGTGGTTAAATCCGAGTCTTTCTGCACCTCGCTTTCCTGGCAGAATGAAGTTCGTGGTGTGTACATGGGCCCAAGGAATGCAGTGCTCTCTGGTAACTCTCCACCACCCCATCTGCGGTCCTACTCTTTTCTCTTGGATACTGGGCTTCTGATGGTGTGTGCATATCTGCTGCCCCAGATTCCAGCAGGATCTCACAGTGTCCTTGTCTGCCATGCCAGGTCATGAGTTTGACTTCACACAAGCTCAGTGAGGCAGTGCTCATCTGCCTCTGCCTCCTAATCTCCTTTGACAGCTACAGCTCTACGGGAAGCCCTCACTCTGTAGTGCAATAAGGCTACACACTGAATCCAGCACTCTGAATTGTAGCACCTCAAACTTTTTGAGGATTATTTTATGTCAAGTGCTAACTTTGTCATACTGTTCCAATGGAAAGGCTTCTGTAGCTATGCCTCCTTTTTCCTTGCTGTAGATCAGTGATTCTCAACCTCTTTACACTCAGGGCATCCCTCGCTGGACTCGAGGAACCCCTCCATAATGTTTGTGAATTGAATGGCACCTAGTTAAAAAAAACACTATGTATTACATTATGTGCCTTCACGTAGAGGGGCTGGGTGGTAGGAGTGGGGAATCATCCAGGCAGCGGCAACCCTAAACCTGAGTGTGTCTGCTTAATTTATCTGTTTATCTCCTCCTACTTCACAGCCACCTTCAAAGGATGTGGTGGCACCCCAGAGTGCCCTGGCACACTGGTTGAGAATCACCGCTGTAGATCCTGTCTCTCATGCAGTATTTTTGTGATGCTGGAACAGAAAGTAAAAAATTGTTCAACATGAGCCCAAACTGGTCCCCAGATCTGAGCAGTCTTGGGGTGCTTGAAATGAGGATTTGGATCTGATAGTTGAGGATTGCGCAGCAACCTGATTCTCCACTGTCAGCCAGCGCAGGTTATCAGTAAGGTTGGACCTGCACCAGTGAAGCGTGCTCAAGCTGGAGGACTAACTCCATTAGCGGGTAGTTGTAGAAGACTACTAACCTCTGCATGGGTCAGTGAGAGTTTAAATTCACCGCCTGGAGCCATTTACATTTGTACAAGTCGTTGTAAAATATGACCATGTTTCTCAATCCACGCTCAGAGGGGGAGCATTTTGAACCCATTTTGCGTAATGTAAATGGCTACACGAGGGGCGGAGCAGCAGAGAACCAAGGCCCTGCATTTCTAGTTAGCAGAGAGCATTTACATTAATGTTCCTTAAGGTCAAATCTTGGAGGCCTGACTCATGTTGTTCTCCCACTAGCTTTCTCTGCGTTACTCTTGTCTGCTGCAGCAATGGTTGTCTCATCTTTGCTGTTTTCCTAGAAAAAGACTATGTATGAGCATCTTCTAGGAGTAGATTGAAACCGTCAGCTGCACTTTGCTTGTGTAGTCAGCCTCATTCAGCAAGGGCAGATCCAAAGGTGCAGTCATAACCTCCTTTTAAGACCACACCACAGGAGCAGCCGCCAGGGACTTTTTAAGCCCCCAAAGCAGGTAAGAATTACCTGCCCTGGCTCTCAGCACCCCCTTCCTTCTCCTCTGTGCTCAGCGGCACATCCCCTGCGCTCCCAGTCCCACCATCCCCAGCCCACTGCTTCCACTGTCTCTGGCTGATCCAGGGGCAGGAAGAGTGCCAGACCTGCTCCTGCCCTGCTCTGGCTGGGTTGTGTGGAGAGCCAGTCTCAGCTAGGGACAGCAGCAGTGGCTGGTACAAGGGCAGGGGGAGCTGGGGGATGCCATCACCTCTGCAGCATTGGCCAGTGCTTCTCTGCCTCTCTTTACAAAATCCTAGACCCACCCATGTCATTTGTTTTTTCTCAAAGTAGAGGATGCATCCCCCTAGGGGTAAGTGAAGAGCTCCTAGGGGTATCTGAGAGGAAAGAATGGGAAAACAGAAGACGGGCACAGTGAAATGTAAATAGAGGGAAAGGAAGAAAATGGAGAACCTCCTGGCAAGGTTACAGTGAGAGCAGTGACCTAAGATGTTACTTTGAATTATCCATATGGCAGCATCAGCATCCTGTAAATACACAAAGCAAACTTAAAAGTGGGGAAAATGACTCAAACAAGTCTGAGAACCACTGGCCAAGCTGAACATGGTTCTTTAGAGATGGAGTAGTGGTAGGAGGTCCTGGCACGCTTCCTCGGTAGGCCGTGCTCCAACTGACCTCCTCTGAGATTATTAATACGTGTGGACCAAGAGGAGAGCGTGTCCAACGTGCATTGGAAACGGGGGCATCTTGGTGCTGCTCCAGGCAGTCCCTGTCTGCCTGTTTTGAATTGGTCTCAGGAAGAAGTACCAGGTATGCAGTACTCTGGTGCCGTCCTATTTCTTGTTAGTAAATTGTGTCTGTTCCCTCAGTTTTTCTTGCATCAGATCCATTTTTCATTTACTGTCTATTGTAAGCAGCTAAAGAGACATGTTTCCAGCCTGCAACCAGAAAGGCAGGGGGATTTTCAGTCCCTGTTAAGTGTCCATACTGCTACCAATCAGCTTGGCAGCCCCACTAATTAGTTCTCTTCTGACTCAGGGCAGGCATCTGAATAAGACTATATTCTCTTTAGACCCCAGCCTATTAGGAAACAGAAAATGTGTCATTTTAAGGCTTCACAAAGCACTATGTAAACTCCAGAAAACATTGTAAATCCAGCCGAGTCAGCCGTAGTTCATGAGTTGCATTTTAAGTGCTTGATTAATGCCATGTAACAGCTCCCTAAGCAGGAGAAGCTGCAAGTGCGTAAACGGCAGCCCCACGAAGCGGGTGGTCCCGGCCAGCAAGTTCTAGCCCGTTGTCAGTTTGCAGCATAAACAGAACTCAAAATAGCAGATACACGCCATTGCTCTGTCC